AGGTCGGCGAGCTCCTGTCCAAATTCATCGCCAGCCTCGAGAAGCTTCTCAATCTCGGCATCGGAGACATTCGTCAGACCATAGGAAGGAACGATCTCGCTAGACAGATATGCTGCGCGGTCGGTACCGTTGTAGTCGCTCCAGAGCTCACTCAAGTATTCGACAGAATGCGTACTGGATTGGAGTAGCGACGGATCGTATTGAGAAGGTATGGTTATACCACCGGTTTCGTGGTCTGCCACAGCGAGGAAGGCGGTGTCAGGATGCGAATCGATCCACTTCATGACCATGTTTACGACATTGTTGAATTCGAAGACTTCGTGAAGATGGGCGACTGAGTCGTGAGCGTGCGACGAGTGATCAATCCGTGAAGCTTCGATCATCATGATATAGCCCTTCTCGTTGGATGCACTGGCCCGCGAAAGCGAATTGAGGGCAGCTTGAGTCATCTCAGACAGCGATGGCTCGCGGACTTCCGCGGCTTGCTGTTGGCGGTCGACCTCATAGCTGAGATCTCCATCCTTGAACAGGCCAACGTAAGGAAGCTTGATGTCACCTAGACCAAGCTCAAGAGCGTCAAAACTCGCACGATCGCGGGCGGTATAGTAGCCTTTTGACTCGGCGTATGCAAACAGGTCGATGTCATCAGTGCGGCATGAGTCAGACTCATTTTGAGGCTGGAAGTAGCAGCGACCACCACCAAGCATCAGGTCAACGCTGATACCTAGGGGATGGCTGTAGCCAATTTGTTGCTCTGCGAGTTTATCAAGAGCGTCTCGGCTCACAGCATGAGAGAAGAAAGCTAAGTATCGTCAGAGAATATTTGAGGCACCAAGAAAGCATTTCCTACCCGCAGGAGTTGCGTGACTGATGGGTGAAGTCACTACTAGGCCAGTGAGATAGCCTGCTAGCTTCGCAGCTTCCATCACAGATCCAACCGGTGTGCCATCGGGCATTACACCGATAGCTCCATTATCGGTCTTGTGTCCCGTGGCAAGAGCAGTACCAGCGGCGCCAGAGTCTGTCACGAGATTGTTGGCAGAGTGGGTTCGAGTGTTGCCGATGACAGTAATATCGATAGGTAGAGCATTGATTCGGGGAGCACGAGTGGTCGAGTTTCCATTGACCATGGACAGATATGTGCGAAGCAGTGTCTGGGAGACAGGACCCATGCCATCGGGAACGATGAATATGAAGTTCTTCGGTTCGATTGCTGCGAGTGTGACTTGTCCCAAAGAGAGGGCAGTCAAGATCGTGGAGGTGCGCATGGTGGGCAACAGGCAGATGATGGCACTGCAACAGGGCGATGGGAAAAGATGGTGAGAATGAGTTCAACACTTGACCTACAGTACAGCAGTCGAAGCTGATGCAGTTTATATACTGCTAGGTTAACGGCTCATACATCCCACGACCCTGTGGGTACTCACGTTAGGCCCTGAGTATCTGCACATGCCTGTTCGCCAAATCTTGGACTCCGATGACTTGGGTCCGAACAGATCCCAATTGAACGATATCCAAAAATTGACCAAGTTCTACTACATCTAGCAGTATGTCCAGGTATTCTCGACAGCTCTTCGCTGAGTTCTTGTCAAGTCTCAACCCATTTTACAACACTGCGATACCTCTCATGCACACTTTGCAACTATTGCGATAGATACCACCGCTCATGTTGTGAAATTTGATGTCAAGGATGTCATTTTGAACCTCAACCACTTACAGCAATTTCCGCAATCACGCTCTGCACCTCCATGTACTGATATGCGCAGGCCCAGCCTTGGTATGTCTCTTCGAATGTGCGACGCTCTTTTGCCAAGGTTCTTGGGGACTTGGTGGGCGGCATGGCGGTCGGCGAACACCACAAGCGTGCCTCCTTCCGCATCCCACGTGTTGATGTTAAGGGCGACGAACATCGCGCTCCGGGACTGACGGATGGCTCATCTCCTGCCAAAAAAAATTGCCTTCGTACAATGTCTTCCTGCTGTGTCGACAGCGCGTCTTGCACTCCTGTCGTCATGCTTCCTGCTCACGGCTAATGGGGTTGTTTACCTGTGCCGGTTCGACCTACTCTTTATCCGATCTACGAGCGACAGAAAACAGTGCGACCGCCATACGAACTAGCCCGTATACCTCCGCTCCTAATGTCGTATCCGTTCAAAAGTCCGCTGCGGGAGTGGCGCCAAAAACAAACTCCATTCATGGCGCTTTCAGCAATGGACATCGAGACAGCAGTACCAGCACGCGTACGGAGACTCTAAAATTCAGCGAGCAAGCTCCCTACACAGATGAGGAACAGTGGTCTTGCAGTCGTTTATGAGTCCGGTAGTCTTCACCCCGAGTTGCCATCAAAGCAGACCGATGCCAGTGGCTCGTGCGTCATTAGCGTCATACCCCGCAAACTATTTCCGCATAGGACCTCGGGAGGGACGTTATTGTCTTCTACTTTCTTATGTCTTCTCTGTCTTTTGCGCTTAAGCCTAAGAGGTCTTTTTATAAAAGTACTTTAGTTATATATATTAAAAAAAAAGATATTTAGTAATAGTAGTTTACTAAGCTATTTATTTAAAGTAGTTATTTTTATATATACTTATAGTAGCTAAAAATAACTTTATAATAAATATATAATAAGTTATTATAATAAGTTAGTATAATAAGTTTTATAATAGCTTATACTACTAAAACTAAAGTTAAAGCTTAACTAGTAAGTTTAGAAAATATATATTTACTACTTTTTTTTAAACTTTTTATTATAATAATAAATAACTAAATTATTATAATAATAAATACTTAGCTTATTATTTATTAACTTTTTAACTTTTTTAATACTTTTATAGTATTATTTTTATATTTATATTTTAATTTTTTACTATAGTATAAAATTTTTTACTATTTACTTACTTTTTTTAAAGTAATACTTAAAAAACTAAAAATAATAGTAGTATAGCTACTTTATTAAAATATAAAAGTAGCTAAAATAATTTTATATATATTTAAGTAGCTTAATAATAGTATATAATTAGTTTATACTTTAAAGTAAAGTTTTTAATATTATAGTACTAAGTTATTTTTACTTTTATATATAAAAAGTAGCTATAATTAAAATACTACTTTTTTAGCTTACTACTAAGTAGTAGCTAATAATTTTTAAAAAAAAGTTTTTAAAAAAAGTATAGTAGTAAAAAGTAAGCTTAGTAAATATACTACTTACTAAGTTTAGTATATAACTAGTTTAAGATAGTTAAGAAGAGGTAGTAAGCGCGATTGTAGTAGCTATAAACAGAATAGAAAGCGTAATTATAGCAAGTATAAGTTAAGTAGCTAAAACATAGTAGGTATTCTAAATTAATTTAAGTTATGTATTAGAGCGTAGTAGCTAAAGAGCTAAAGAGAGAGAAAGAGCTAAGAAAGTAGTCTAGGTGCAAGAGATTAAGTGTAAAAGAGTAGTAGCAAAGAAGCGCACAGCGTATAAGAACTCTAAAGTAAGAGAAAGCTTTCTATATTAAATATTCTCTAAATTTCTAAATATTTAAAAGTATTAAACAAACTATAAAAGAGTAACAAGATAACGCCTTCTTCTATTCTAGAACTAGTTATAACTAGTAAGTAACTCTATAGTATATACGTATGTATATAGTAGCTAATTATATATATATATATAGATCTAGAAAGCTACCTAACATAGATTATAAATAAGATAGACTTAGAGTCTCTAAGCGTAGAGATAGTTATATATAGAAAGGCAGCTAAGATTACTAAAAATAATAGAAAGGTAACTAGCGCGTTAAAGCTAAAGCTAGAGTAATAGCTTAGTCTATTTAGGTAGTTCTTTAAGAATATAAAGAAGTAAGCAGGTATATAGTAAGTATGTAGCTACGTAGCGTAAGCTAATAGAAGATAGATAAGCTAAAAGGCGCTAAGAATACGTTTATAAAGAAGTAGAATAATCTACTAGAGGTGTTAATTATTTAGGTTAGTAAGCAGAAGATAGATAATACTAGGTTAGAATTTATAAAGGCGCTAAAGGTGTAAGATAATCTAGAGAAGTATTTTCTTCTTACTTAAGTACTAAGGCGCGTAGTGTAATATATTAGTTAAGTCTTATATTAGTATAGGTATTTGTGTAGTAGAGTAGTAGGTAGTAATAGTAATAGTATTATAATATTACTAGTAATAGCATTTCTATAAGAGTAGCTAAATACAAAGCTATATTTAGCATGTTAGTGTATACGTGTAATATAATATAATACGTGTAGTATATATAAGTAATTAGGTATTGCGTAGTGCCTAAGGTAGCGCGTAAGATAGGCGTGTAAGTGTAGATAGACGTGTAGGTGTATTGTAAAGGTACTAGCTAGATAGCTACCTAAGGCAGTAGGCGCCTAAGGCGCTGCGCGGCCTTAGCGGGCTTAAGAGCTCTAGAGCTACGTTAAGCAGGCGTACGCGGGTAGGTTGTTCTAACTTAGACTAGAGAGTCTAGGTCGAGAGCCTAAGATAGTTAAAGTAGTTAGAGCTAGTATTATAAGTTAATTTTATAGCTTTATAATATTTACTATTTATATAAAAAAGTAGTATTATAAGAAGAAAAAATTTACTTCTAGACTAGCGCCTTAGTAAATAAAACTAGGATTACATTAATACATTAAGGTACTTTCTTATGTGCCTGGTAGTCCACACTTCCTACGCTCCACGACTCAAGCAGATGTGGAGGATAGTCCGGGGATCGTTAAGGTTTAGCAATTTGACACGACTAGGGTCCCTGGAAGTCGCTGAAAGAAGGTTCTGTCCGTTAACGCGTATTCGTGGAGTTTCTCGTACTCAAGACTAGGATACCAAGAGTCTAGGAGATGAGTTGATAAAGTATCGCTTCCGATGGCTGGTTATGGCTCCAAAGTATGAGTTAAGTATAGCTCCCGGCTTATAGTCGCAGTATATGTTCATGGTATGTATTCCTATAGAATCCGTAGGTCATCTGTATCTCTCTCGTTACTTCCTCTTGTTTCATCATGCGGTCGTACCGCCTACCACTCTATGCGTGGAGTCTGTGGTCGACAGTCTCTGCCCAATCCACCTTCAAAGCGCAGGCCCAATCAGCACTAGAAAGCCTCGCGATCACGAACATTGACGATGTTCGTGGGAATCTTCATCTACCAAGCGTCTCAGAGAACCAGAACGTCACATGGATGAGCAACAAACCTTCCGTAATATCAGCAGACGGCGTGGTTCAGCGACAAAGTGCCGACACTGTAGTTGATCTTACAGCGATTATCGACAGCGACGGCACGACCTCGAATCGCACCTTCAGTGCCAACGTACGTCAGGCGGTCAAACTTGATGCTTTTGAAGGTTATGCCTTTGCGTATTTTACGGGCAACTCGTTGGCTGGCGAGAAGATCTATCTTGCAGCCAGCGAAGGCAACAACGCTTTAGCTTGGAAAGAACTCAACAACGGCGAGCCTATCCTTGCCTCTACTGAAGGCACGAAGGGGTTACGTGACCCCTTCGTCATACGTTCTCCAGAGGGCGATAGATTCTTCCTGCTAGCTACCGACTTGTCGATTGGATCCGGTACTTCCTGGGGAGATGCAGTTCGCAAAGGTAGCTTGTATCTAGAGATCTGGGAGTCAAGCGACCTCAAGACATGGTCTCAGCAACGGCACGTCAAGGTCTCCCCTTCCACTGCTGGAAACACATGGGCGCCAGAGGCGTATTACGATACGGATCTTGGTTCGTACGTAGTCTTTTGGGCGTCCTCTCTCTACGCTGAGAGCGATACGGACCGCACAGGGGCGACGTACCACCGCATGCTCTACGTGACTACTCGGGACTTCGTCACGTTCAGCGAACCCGAGATCTGGCAGGACGCAGGCATGTCACGGATCGATACTACGGTCATACAAGAGGCGAATACATTCTACCGGTTCACAAAAGACGAAGGAGGCACAGGCACAAACTGCTCCGACATTATCCAAGAGCGTTCTGACTCGCTCCTTGCTCCTGTACAGTCCTGGACCCAAGTTGCCACATGCATTGGTCGCAACGCCGGCACTAGCAGTGTCGAGGGACCGACAGTGTTCAAATCCAATCCAGGCGATGTCAATGGCGAGAAGTACTACCTCTTTGTGGATGAGTACGGTGGACGTGGATACATTCCGCTAGAGACAGCAGACATCTCCAACCCTGACTGGAAGGTTTCCAGTTCATACAAATTGCCGACTAGCCCACGTCATGGCACTGTGGTTCCAGTAACGGCAAAAGAACTTGCTGGTCTGACTGCGGAGTCAAAACGTTCTGTCCTTGCTAAGACAGCAGGCAGCCCTGTCCTTCCCGGTTTATACGCAGACCCCAACATCGCGGTATTCGGTGATAACTACTACATCTACGCGACGACGGATGGCTTCCCTGGCTGGGGCGGTAATGTCTTCTACGTCTGGAAGTCACCTGACCTAGTCTCATGGACCCGATCAGCCGAACCTTTCTTGACCCTCAATGGTACCAGCGGTAACGTACCTTGGGCCAACGGAAATGCCTGGGCCCCCACCATTATCGAGAAGGACAGTAAGTATTACTTCTACTTCAGCGGAAACAACCCGGAGTACGACCGCAAGACTATCGGCGTGGCTGTTGCAGACGCGCCTGAAGGACCGTTTACAGCACAAGCGAAAGCTATGATCCTTAACGAAGGCAATGTTACCACTGGCCAAGCCATTGATCCAGACGTGTTTCAAGACCCAACTACTGGCAAATACTACATTTTCTGGGGCAACGGAGGCTCAGACATCACACCCGCGCTTTACGCTGAGCTCAGTGACGACATGCTCTCGCTAAAGGCTGACACAACGCGTTCCATTGGCGGTCTTCCTGACTTCCGCGAGGGCATCTTCATGAACTACCGCAAGGGCCTCTTCCACCTCACATACTCTATCGATGACACTGGTTCCGAGAACTACCGAGTAGGGTACGCGACGTCTACAAGCGTTCATGGCCCCTGGACATACCACGGTCTCATACTACAGAAGGATGCCTCGAAGGGTATCCTCGCTACTGGTCACAGTTCCATCATCAACGTCCCAAACACCGACGATTGGTATATCTGCTACCACCGATTTGCCATCCCGAACGGCAACGGAACGAACAGGGAAGTCACCATCGATAGACTGTACTTTGATGATCAAGGCTTGATGAAGCCCGTTGTGCCTACTCTAGAAAGTGTACCGGCGCAGCCGATCTCTGCGTAGATATGGACTGCATAGAATAGACTGATATACCAATACATTGATTCAATATACATGAAGACTTCGTAAACGACAGTGTGACTAGCAAACAACAGCAAGCTCCGAGAATTTCACTCCGATACGCCATGCCACTGGTACCCACACCTGTTGCATCATCCCACTTCTCCATTGCCCATACTCAGAACCCCAGACCCCTCCTCCTACCGAAGCCCCTAGACAGACTCCTACTACTCTCCAATCCCAAGCCCAAGCCAACTCCACCCAAGATCTTCATTCCCTTCTTGCGACCGATGAGCAGCTCCTCCAGTATCAAGCTCACTTCCTCCATCTGCTCCTTGAACTCCTCCATCGCCTTGCCCAAGCACACACCTTCTTCCCACATGTCGCTCAGGTGGGCTTCGCTCAGGTCATCGGGCTTGATCGTTTCAAGCGGCTTGACGACGGCGGTGAGATGAGTGAGGTTGGCTGAGACGATAGCTGCGCGGCGGTTCAGAGCGCTGACGCGAGAGGGGAGGTCGATTGGAGTGTGGATGGCAGTGGGTATAGAGAGGTCTTCGTAGGAGGGGACGGGTGTGAGTTCGGATTGGTAGAGATAGCCGTGGTCCCAGGAGTAGTTCTGCTGGCGGCGTCGGAGGTGACGCGACGTAGAGTGTGGTGAACCAAACATTTTGTGATGATGGTTGCTCGTGATTTTAGCCTTAGAACAGCGTATAGGATCGGGTTGCAACTTGATGAGAGAGAACGGATGATCAAGCTCGAAATCGGTATCCCGTGCGACAGCAGGTATTTGATATACTCGCTTCCTGTCGCTATCATGAGAGAGGTGGAGCCACATCGATGGTATCGGGACGCTGCATAGCCGATGTTTGGGCTTGCTCGACCGCAATGCTTGTCATACGTTGGCTCAGCAATGCCATATCTATGATTTCTGGAGTACTTACGCGGGCTAAATGACGCGCTTAGGAAGTTTGGATTTAGCGATCAAGGTTAATGGTATCACAGCAATCACGGATCTGCGGCGCATTGCTAGAAACAACGGAATTCAGCTGCTTACACGCGCCTACCCATGAAAACCGATCGAGCAAACCTCCGCATCTGCTCATTGCCTGCTACTTTCCTGAAGCGGCTTCCTGCCGCGAGTACACCAACTTTATCATCACACAAGCAACATTGAGCTTCTCGTGCCAAACCTTGAACCGCGCTTCCACCCCCGCACTTTCATCAAGGAGCCCATCTATTACATCTGTCATCTCTTTTCCTCTTGTATCGCCAATCGTGCTGCTGGCTATTTCGTGGAGCGTGTTGATCTTTGTCATCATTGACATCAAAATGTCGCCTAGAGCGTGAGAAGGCTCGACAATGGACGGGAAGTTTTCGCGGATGGCGAACCGAATAGCTTCATGAGGTACTTTAGAAGTGGATGTGGCGTTAGAGTCCATGGTGACGAGGAAGCGTTTAGCTAGGTATCTTCGCGCTTCGTCCTCACCGATGCAGGTGGACTGGGAAGTCGTGATATATGTACTAATGCCATGGAATCCAGTGCCAGCCGACCCCGCGAAGTCAGGCGAAGAAGTCATGGGTCGATTGTCATCGTGTTCGAGTGGTCCTAACCCCGTGGGCTCACGCATTGGTATCGTGGTATATTTATCTGGTAACCTTATTATTCTGACATACGTGGTGCCTGTGTACATTAACGTCTCTTTCATTATGGCTTCCTTCGTCTTCGTTTCGCTTCTCTGATCCGACATGACTCTACGCAGCCCTCGGTCTCTCCCACGCCTGGCCGTCGCTCATCTCGATGCCACCCGCCATGCTCGTTTGTCCCAGCTTCTCCGCATTCCAACCCTCCTCAGGCGGTATCGGGCTTCTGATCTCCTTCTCCCGACCCAGACCCTCCACACCAGGCGGCCCGTCGCCCCAAATCAAGTATTGCGCTGCAAGTCCCAAGTCGCAACATGCCTGGAAGATACCACAAGCCTTGAAAGCCCAAGGTACCTCACCACTGCTACTGGCAAAGAAGAACCACATCTTGAACGTGTCACCGATGACCCAGTTTACGATGACACTAGGCCTGAATCCTTTGCACCCGCGTCTCTGGTAGTTAGCCAGGAGCTGGGGAATGGGAAGCGTAGCCTCGATTGTCAACGCAACCATGCCCAGCAGATCGGTGTACGGCACAAATACGCTCGTGGATGACATGAGCAGATGCAGCACCAACAGCACCCCAGTGAAGTATGTAATGAAAGTCCAATACGGCCTTGGCGCCCTCCACTGCCAGAAATCGTACGGTCGGTTCGAAACATCCTTGTGTTGGAAAGGGAGGTGCGAGGGCGGCGGTCGGTTCGTGAGCGCGACGTGGAGGAGGAGCAGGTGGACGCAGATCATGAGCAGGGCTTGGACGAGCAGCGAGGTGCTGAAGTGGGCACCGAACCAGTAGTAGACCTTCAGGATGCTGGCGACGAGCATGATGAGCGGAATGTCGAGGGAGAAGCCGGCAGAGCTGCGGGCTCGGTGCATGCTGTAGATCTGGTCGCCATAGCTGGTAATCGGACTCGTCGCGATACTGGGTGCTGGCTGTTAGAGACGGAGAGGCTAAGGAGGTGTGGAGTCGTACAAGACGGGTGCGATGTTCTTCACAATGGCGCTGATGAAGAACATGTTGGTGGTCGTGTGCTTGGCCCGGCGGTTCGTCTCGGAATGTCGGAAGGCTTCCCTGAGGCTCCTTTTACAACGCTGGAATGTCCGACGACTAGGAAGGAACGCACACGCAACCACGGAACCGTTTTGGCGCGATTGATCGGGGTGTGAGGCTCGAACGAAACAGCACCCGCGGACAAAAAGGGAGGAGGCGCAATCTCCCGCAGATCAGATCTGGCTTGCATTAGTGGCCGCTGTAGGGCTGATAAGCAGCTTAGCGCCTGCCGTCATAGCTGTTAACCCAAATACACTCACAGATCCGTGCTTCCATTCGATTTCAAGATTGACGATATATGGATGCCTTCCACCTCTACCAACACCAATCGCCTAAGCCTCAACACACCCCGATTTCCCCTCGCCGCCAACCCACCAAGATGTCACATACCGCTTTCTTCTACGGCACCTTGATGGCACCGCCCGTCCTCCACCGCGTGATATGGGGCTCGCAAACCCCTCCTACACCAGCGCATGCCTCGCTCCTGCACATACGCCCGGCGATCCTCCACGCGCACCGACGACACAAAGTAAAGCAAGCAGACTACCCAGCCATCCTCCCCGTCGATAGCTCCTCATCTGTGCGCGGAACACTTGTAGAGGGCCTCACAGACGGCGACATCTGGCGACTGGATATTTTCGAAGGCTCAGAATACCAGCGTCGGAAAGTAAAGGTCAAGGTCCTGCAACCGAAGCATGGCAACACCAGTACGGAAGAAGGCATGGGCGACCTATCACAAAAGGAAGAAGATAATGTAGAAGGCGAAGAGGTCGAAGCGGAAACATACATCTGGACAGCGGGCGCGCATAGACTTGAGGCTGAGGAATGGGACTTTGCAGAGTTCGTTAGGGATAAGATGAAGCGGTGGGTGGGTAGAGAAGCAGCTGAGACCGATGAAGGGTTCCAGGGTAGGCCGTCAATCAACGGTAGACCTCCCGAGCGAGGGGGGCGTGATTTCAAGACTAACAAGATGCAGAAGTCGATGATGCAGTGGCAGCGCTCGATGACCCTACAGGCGGACGCGGCGCGAACGGAACTATTTCACGCCAACTGAACGAACGAGGTACGAAGGAGGATAAGATTCTCGAAAGTGCAGTATAAATGTTGCTTGTTCATATTGCTGTACTATCATCTCTCTGGCACACTGCCAGATCTGCATGTAGTCTGCGACATGCTGTTCTCCGAGATCACAGCTGAGCTTTGCAGACCCCGTCACTAGTCCTGATAGATAACGCCTCCGTGAAACCAAGATAGGTATAGATGTTGTGAGCAAAAGGTTGAGCTGGCGCTCGCAGAACAACATAGGATAAGCTTCATCTCAAGCAGTTAGAGAAGGGTAGGATTGTCCCTTGACCATCCAGTTTGGACGGTTGTACTCGTCTCCTCAGGTTCTGGTGTTTCTTGAACCACGGATCCGTCGTTGACGCCATCAAGTTGCAGATCGTGAGTGGACTGTGAGATCCCTTCCATTGGATCAGATGCTTCCTCTCTACGCTCCAGTGACCCATCCATGTTGCTGGGAGCAGGTGCTTCTGAACGCCGGGCTTTGTCTCTAGCATAGTCGTCTTCGTCCAGCTTTGTCTGGAGCGCACTATCAACGGGAGTACCTTCGTGTTGACCATGTTTAGACGTCTTTGTGCTGTACGACAAACGCGGAATCTCTTCAAACGTAGGTGAAGGACGGAGCCCTTCGCTGGAATGTGCATAACGTGATGCGGGTTTCCGCTGAGCAGTGGGAGCTGCCTGCACCTGCTGGCGATGGTTGACGTTGATGCCTTTGACTTCCTGTGAGTCCTTGATCTCAATAGGTGCGTCGGAGACACTGCCTTCTCGGCTGCGCGAAGCTCTTTGCTTAGTTTCCATATCGCCATCTTGATGTCGTTGGGGCGACTTGATGAGCTGGCGCTTCGCTGATGGCGATTTCATGTCATCATCATCGTCACCGTGTCTTCGGCGCTTCTTGGGGCTTGATGTACCGGGTATTTGAGATGTTTGATCGTTTTCTTTGGATTGACGTGGTGTTCTGTTCGAAGTGATGTGTCCGTTGCGCAAAGAATCATGTGATTGGGGCGTTCTGCTGGAAATGCGCACTTCGGGACTATGGCGCCTTGGTGTCGTTTCTGACCGTGGACTACCAACGGCCTGCTCTGCAGGAAATGTGAGCACAGGTGGTGAGTCAGACACCTTGCTGACAGCTATTTGAGGTGCTTCCTCAACAGCAGAAGTATGCTTCGCATCGAAACTGAACGGCGATGCGAGTCGGAGTGGAGGATGAGAAGGTGAATGGGTTCGTGGCGATGTGGGCTGCGCGCCTGCGTTCTTGGGCGAAAGTGCGAGCTTCGGCTTTTCACTGGATAACTCATCAGAGTTGTGTCTGCCCAGATCCGAGGCTTTGTACGTTGTCGGAGCTGGTGATGTCTTTGAGCTCGCAGATCCTTTCTTCGCCTTCTTCTGTGCTCTCCTATCGTCTTCCTGCTTCTTATAGCAATCAAATATGATTTGACGCATTTTGTGCCTCATTTCCGATGGATTTAACTCCGGCCAGTCTTCTTGAGCCGACATTGATCCAGTGAGCAGCTTGTTCTTGAAGTCATCGGGATTCTGGAAGAACTTCTCGATGTAGCCAAGTAGGTAAACACCGCAATCGGTGAAGTTGTTCTGCATTGGAACCTGTGTACTCTTGGGATAATAGCCGTTCTCTTTGATGACAGCCTCCATAGCACGCCGGCTTGCCCCCTCCGCTGCTATCCAGTCTTTGAGAGCGCGAACCGCTCCAGTACGGGCATTACCACCAAGAGAATCGAGTACTATGATGACAGGTTGATCAGGATCTCTTTTGGCTATGGGCTTGCGTTTTGCCTTCTTTTTTGCAGAAGACGCGGTGAAATGAGATTGGGACAATATTCCTGGGTTTGTGTCCCTCATTTCAGCTAAAGCTTCTGCATCTGGATTCTGGGATGTTGGATCTGCTTGGGTCGTCTCTGATTTATGCGGAGTTTCGGTCCCAGTATCGTCGCGGTCGACAAAAGATAGTGCCGCTTCATCAAAAAGCATCGGCTCTTCATCGTTCGTTTGGGCCGCTGTTGCTTCTTCATTGATGACATTTGGCTCTGGGGATGTTGATTTATGTACCATGGTCGCATGCGTCTCGGGATTCGTGGCTGTCACGGCTGAATCACTTGCTTGATCGTGTGGGATTACCTGAGGCTCATCGAAGTCTTGAACTATGGGTTTGCGTTGAACCTTCGACATATTGCAGATAATCGCCAGGTACCAATGGGCTCTATAGACTGTTAGCATAGGCTATCAAAGCGGTGGTAACTTGACGTACTGTTCGTTGATGGGAACAACAATGTAGTCGTAGGTGAAGATATCAATCTTAGACGTCCAGCGTTGCACAGCCTTGTAGTCCATGGATTTCCGACCCGAGTTCTCGGTAAGCTTCGTGAAGAAGTAGGTGTTGAAGAAGTAGACTTTATCAGCAGGCACTTTGAGCTGCTTAAAGAGGTAGCTGGAGAAGGTTAGTAGCGCTAATGGAAAGGTAGACACGCACTCACATCATGTAGAAGTCGATCAGGCTGTCATTCAAGAATTCTTCCTCGTCCAGGCGGGGCAGATCATCAAAGTGCACTATCGCCCGTTGACGACCTTCGCCGAATTCAAGAGACCTTGGGATGGTTAGCAGAATCATGAGTAAGTGCGTGGAAACTTACTTAGCCCAGGGTTGCCCAAGTCCAGTTTCGACTGAAAATTTGGGTACATCCGACTGTGTAGGCGTGTCTTCGACGTAATTAACCGGAGCCGATCTTGTTGAACGTGACGGACGGGTCGATGCTCTGCTTGTCGTGGTAGTGCCAGATTCAGCATCAATAACATGCTGACGGACAGCGGGCTTGAGCTGATCCAACAGAGGTCTCTTCGACGCTCCATTAGCTTTTTCGCGGTGAGGCTGTCCTAAGCTCGCTGTTGAATCGCCTACCAGTGCAGACGTACCAACCTTCTCGTTTCTCGATGGGAGAGGTGTTTTGAAAAGATGGGCCATGTAATCATCCGACTTATTGATACACTTTCCGCCTGACGTCATCAACACTGCGTGTTCATCACGGAAGATGAGGAAATCGGCAGTATCAGCAAACTCCAGGTCCAAGATGAGTTTGTTCCCGTCGTGTCCGCGAGGGCCCGTCAACCGCATGCGGCTTGTACCGTCCGCATATACTTGGTTGACGTATTTAGGCTCTATGACAAGTTTGCTATCGTAGACGCCATCCACTGACTCCCAAGTCTGGACACGTAACCCCTCATCTTTCCTCCATCTTAAGAGCAAGATGGCATGGCCGTCCATGGTTGTTGATCCGTGGCTCTGAAACCCATACGACCGTGCAAACGAAAGTCGCCATGATTCTTCTACAACCCTTCCGCGAGCGTTTCGCTTGACTCCACTATTTGCAGTCTGCTTTTGCTTTTGCTTCGAAACAAGTCTGGTTCCCTGGTGCGGAGGCGTGATGGCAAGCTCGTCCGCGCTGTAGTTGTCAGTCATAGGTCCCGCTTGCTTTGGCACAGATTTGTGTTGGGTGCGAAGGTCCTCGTCTTCAACTGTTACACGTCGGTTCTGGTCTGCGTGATCAGATGTTGACTCATTGATGCGGGCTTCGGGAAAGTAGCGAGACGTGACTATGTCGACTTTTCTTTCGGCTCCGTCGTGCTTCCTGGGACTTCGCTTCGATTCACCCTGTCGAAACGTCTGCAATATCGCCTGCCGAGGAGTATGTACGCCAGGGCTGGTCGATAGAGAACCACCGGTAAGAGGAGAGCGTCGCGCGCCACCTTTGGCTGTGTTGAAACTCGAGTTCCTCGGCTTCTTCTGGGACGGTCTGAGAAGATTGTCCACTTCTCTAAATTCGCTTGTAGCCTGAGGCGGCTTGTAGTCGCTTACTGTGCTCTCGCTCCCGTTGCTTATCTGTGAATGCAGAGACCAGGCAGAACGCGGCCTTTCGCGTGACGTGCCAACAGGTGTATTTTGGTGGTTTTGAGATACTTCCACCACTTCATCGTCGTCATCGACAAGTGAAATAACGTTGGCAGTCCTCCTTCGTTTTCCAGGCGTAGCTCCACTCGACCATCGATCCTGGCTCTCTGAGGAAGAAGGACGACGAACCGTTGTTGCAGGTGCTCTGTCTGTTCGCTGAAGGTAGGCAGCCTGGCCCGGCCCATGCGCCTGGCCGATCAGTGGCGGCTGTGTACGATCGCGCTTCCCGTACGTAGTAGGCTTCTTGGACCCTCCTTGCATCGTGTCTACGGGCTTGAAGACGTTACTCGACCCTGGCTTTTGGAGGTCAGTATAATCCTATAGGCACAGACAGGTGGTAGTGTGCATACTTTTGTAGGCATGGTGCGCTTCTTTGGTATCGCCATCCAAGTGGATGGGTCGGGCATACTAATAGCATCTGCGGGTCTACTTCGCAAACATTAGTCTCTTTCTTCCGTTTTGGTGTACAAAGGCGATTTACGAATAATCCCCAATTAATCGCTTCTCATCCTCGCTCCTTTGTGTGACGTGCTGCCGTGGGCGGGCCATTTCCGAACGCGCCTCTTTGCGTGGAGTTCGGCTTGAAGATTTCGGGGGCGAAGAGAGGTCTATGAGGACGCGCGAGGTCTTCCTGGGGGGTGTTGACTCCTCGAGGAAAGGATTGGGAGGCAAGCCGGGACCCGAGGGCGACTGGGGGACGACATCGTCTGTCTGTGGCGACATGGCGTTAGCTGGGGGCGCAGGCAGTTCAGCATGAGAGGAGAGTGTAGTTGTTGGAGTGTTTGAGGCAGTCGAGCCGTTGGGCAAGGAAAAGGCGCGTACGTCTGAGTTGGTGAGTCCGAAAGAGCTTTCGGCAGCGGCTCGTATGCCGTTGAATAAGTTAGTGAACATTGGTGTCGCATTGCGGTGGCAGAGCGGCGGGCATTCGCATCGTCTGGTAGGCTGGGTGACCTCGGAACTGCGTGAAGGAACTGCACAAGCGCAGACGCGCACCGTGGGGCATGCGGAGGTGAAGGTGCGCCAGAGAACCCGTCGGCGATACGTCCGTGCGCCTTGACGTAGGTGCTTCAGCGCGCTGCAGGGACGCGACGGCTCAGCTGCGACGTCGAGCTCGAGAACAGATTGGTGCGTCACGACAAACGGCACGTCAGATAAGGTCACGTTGGGGACTTTGGTAATATGTTCATAGCCACAAATCAATGCGACATATTCTTCTTCGATGCCTCGCTCTGTGGACAGGCGGGCTTCAGGGCTTGGTGCTACCTGAGATCCTGCGCTTCGCTATGTAAAAATACAATGTACAGAAATGAGGCTAGGGCCCTGGATGTGCTACGTGCATGACCAGCCTTTCAGCGACGTCCCCAATCGAGCGCGCTCTACATTTCCGAGTTGTGACTGACGTGACCAGAAGGTATTCGCGGTCATGTCATGAACACATCTACAGATGACAGTATGGTGTATACCTTCACGGTATCTGTTTGTGCATCTCGGCAAAGAAACATCTCTCCGTGCAACTCACTCAGCAACAGAAGCTAGCAGTCTCTCTTACAAGCGGTGCTCCGTCGAAAGCACCAGAGTATTGACAGCCAACTTGCAACCTGCACCCAGTACAACACGAAGCGGCGTTGTTTCAGACGCGTTTGGGCATACGGTGCGAATAACGGTCGCGTAAGCCAGCCGTCAGACGACCGTGGCGAATACATGGGTTGTATGGTTGGCTTTGCGATTGATCTGGGGTCGGCCTGAAGATCGTCGCTAGGCTGAGATTCTCCTAGGATCCAGCAGTCGGCTTCTCACGTGACTCATCCGTAGACACTACTCTGCGTTTTTCATGCTGGCTCTTCTCATGGCGGGCTTGATCGATGGCCGATCTTTGGGCGATGCTGTCGTCGTGACTGCGCCATACTATGTTGGTCCCCTCCGGCAGTTTGAGGACCCGCCTTATTGTATCCCGAATCTTGACATTCTTCACACCATCGCTCTTAGTCCAGATGCTGAAGACATCTTCGCCGCTCCGGACACTCAAGACGAAGCCGCAGAACTCCTCCCCGGCATCCAGGAACTGATCTCCAACGAGTGCTAGTAGCAGGTCCTCCCAGTAGCGGTCAGCCACGCCCTTTTTCAGGCGCATGATCCACTTGCCACCTCGCTTGTTCTCATCGTCCTCCCATACCGGCCGGATGCCTTGCTTGAACACGTGGTAATCGGAAACGGAGGGGAGACTCGAAGGACGCTTAAGATGGGAGAAGACCTTCCAGAACTCTTGCGCCGTACTGAATTTACAGAGGGGCACAATCGACTTCTCGTAGTCTACGTTCTTGGCCGTAGGCGGACGGTACCATACCGCCCATGTGTATTTGAGCGGCCACGGCGCATTGAAATCTGGCGGCGCAGAGGGACTCGCTGTGTTGTCTGGTATTGAGGTTGTGGATATCGATTCTTTGCGTATGCTATTGACGACCTTGCTCACGGGCTTGTCCTTTTTATCAGAAGGTGTCGCGGGCGTGGGCGACGACATGGCGGCTGCTTTGAAGTCGAAAGCAGTGCCAGGCGTTTTGGGCGCCTTTCCCGCAGATCCAAAGGAGGCGAACGCGCCTGAGCCGAGCCCAAACGCAGAAGAGCCCCCAGTTGTGGGTGACGCTAAACCACCGGGTGTCAAGGGCGATATAGCGTTGAAAGGGTTTCGACCGCCGTGGGAGGAGTCGCCACCGAAGCGTTTGGTAGCGGAGACGGTGCGTTGGTGCGGCTCGGATTTTTCGCTGTTATTTTCCGAATGTGACATGGAGAGAGAGAGCTTGCTGGTGCTGTTGGCGGCCGTCAGTGGAGAGAACAAAGATGCGGGGACGCAGGAGCATACTTGGAGCGCCGAGTCCAGAGATTATCCCTGTTATCCATTGGCAGCAGTGTCAAACGAGTATATAATACAATGCAAGAAGGTTAAATATCCAAGGCTTGGTGGGAGTAACGAGCGAACAAGCAGCAGAGGAGCTGGCGGGCTAGCGGCCAATGTGCGTCGAAGATATGCGGGGTGTAGTTTGTGGTGGTGGATGTTTGCTGCGAGGAGGAAGTCTGTCACGTGTCGTTGGTATGATGCTGCGGAAAGATGTGGCGAAGGCGGGGGTGTGTGATTGTCGAGCGTGGTGGGATGTATCGTGTGCAATGGCGGATGGTGGTGCGTACTGAGAAAACGTTTGAGAGGTTGGCACTTGCAGCTCAGGCGCGCGCCTTCCGCGGCAGGGATGTGGCTTAGTCATCAACCGAGCTCGATATTCTCTTCGCCGGCGCGCCCGTCCTCTTCTCTTCTTCAACACCGGCCTTTGACTCGTATTATTTGCCAGCTCGACACATCCTACTCAGCTGGCAACTCGGATAACTGGCCCAGAACGAGCCATCCTCTTCTAAAACCATCATCACGAGGGCCGCTTCGGTGGCTTCCATGATGCGGTGATGACCTGAAAGTAGGGACATTATTTTGTCACGCGCGCGACGCGTTGAGGCTGCAAGCTGTCTCAGTCTCTTCTGTATGTGTGCCGCCATGATTTTTTCGTTCGCGACACGGCTAGTGATGACTAGGTCCTATGGACCACTTCTGGTAGTCTGAGTCTCAGCCAGATGTACACTATCGCAACTTTGCGATTTCTTGGTTGAGCTTGAAGCTCTAAGGCAAAGTCTGAAGCCCACAATTATGCCACGCGTGTATCAAGTACCTCTGGAATCTCCGCTAATTGACGACTAAGCAGTACTATACAGCGCTGCTCAGGCGGTGAATTGGCTCTGATAAGCCGCTAAGGTTGGGCACTGGTTCCTTTGTGGTCTCACCGTGTATCTCAGTACCTGACATCTCGCCGCCTTGTATGTTTTCCGGTGCGAGTAGCGTCAGGCGCGTCGCGGTTTAAGAAAGCTCTAACATTAGAACACGCTGAAGAGTCTTGGCGGACATTGGCTGCATCGCTTGACAGTCACCTCTCATAGACGCTAGGTGCCGTAGAGCCGCTTGTTCTTCGATACAGGATGAGGAAAGCATCAAGATGGCGGACTTCTTCCGGAGTGAAAGCAATATCAGAATAATACAGATGATTTTCTCATGCGTGCTTTGACCACAGGCAGCTTGCGGCCAGGTTGTCCACACTGACCACAATAGGTGGACATTTCCTTGATGCATCGAGACGTCTTAACAACCGCGGCAACCTCTGCATCTGCTACAATGACCGGGGTTACAGGCCGCACCTGCATGTGAATCAGAACGCGTGCGGGGTGGGATTGTGCTGGGGCCTACGTCATACTTCCGCCGTTCACAGGACAACGCACCCCACCACGCGCATTGCTTTCTAGCCGTCCTAAACTAACGCCGTCGCCTCATCTGTCGCCCACCACCATACAAAGCCCGCTCCTCCCGCATCTCAGCCTCTCACACCAACGGCTACTGTCGCAAAGTCCCTCCCATATCACCCAACATGACTGGACAATCCCCCGAACTGCATTCGCCGAGCTCGCATCCTGAGCGACCTAAGGGTGGGACTCTCCCATACCCCGCCGCCTGGTGCACGCATGGCTAACAAGGCCAGGTATCCTCAAAAACTCTAGCTCGTACCGCGCCGACTCCCAAACGTCCCCCACTAGCGAGCTTCCGCCAGCCGTAAGCCCCATATCCGAGCGGCCGCAGCTGGGTCGCGAATTGTCAGAGAAGGAAATTGTATTGGAGAACACGCTGCGCAATGCTGGCGCTCACCGAAGATCCTCGTCGAACCCGCGCGGCATCGGTTCACGACGGCAGTCGGGCATTGACCCCGCGGACGAGACTAGCCCGCAGCTCAAGTGGGACGAGGCCAACCTTTACCTGAACGAGCAGAACCGCGATAGCACCATGAAGATCGATGAGCCCAAGACACCATACGCCAAGCAGTACGATCCCGCCGAGGACGAAGAGGAGGTCGAAATGCTCAACGCCGAAGAGCTCAAGGTGGACGAGCTGGACAAGCCAAAGCGGAAACCTAAGATTGAAGATATACCCGAGTTCGACTTGGGACAGCCGGAGCTGCAGGCACGACAGTCGCAGACACCCGAGAGCGAGAAGAGGGTCATGGTGGAAGAGGGCATGGATACAGATGAAGGCTACCACGGCGAGCTCCTCCCCAACGCCACCCAGGAAGAGAGGGAGAAGCACCGCAAGTTTGAGGAGTTGCGCAAGAAGCACTATGAAATGAAGAACGTCAAGGACCTGCTTGGTCACCCAGAAGATGACGAAGATGAGGAAATGCCGACACGACCCAATGCTTAGTAGATGCATTTTTCTGTGCTATGGGCGCTGCAATGGTAGCCAAGGTCGATCCCGAGAGTACGTAGGAAGCTCGCCCAGCGGCGTTGCACGAATTGATTTTGGCGGCATCAAGGTGGAGTTTTCGGATTTCCGGCGCTATGGTCAAGGCCGCGGAGTACTTGAAATACTTCAATTCGTAGTCTGTTCAATGAATGACGTTCTGATTCAACTATGTAGACAGGTGGTCACCGATTTGTATTGCAAGGCGTGAAAACCAGCTGTGATTCTCTACCGGATAAGCTATCCAACTCTAACATCACTCTATGCCCTGAACTCCTTGTCAACACTCTCAAAGTTCTCCAAGAAACTCTGGAAAGTAAAGACACCCAGACCAGGATCCAAGCTTCCGGTCGTCGCCCTGATAGAATGCATACTCAGCTGCGGGATGCCGCAATCAATTGACCTG